AAATGTCATGGGTATACTTTCTGACGAGGTGTCACTGCTGCGATCGGAGATTGTCGAGGCGCTTCGTTCGCGTTGGGCTGATCAATTGAAAGTTGACCGACAACAAGGCGAATTTCATATCAGCGAAGATGCAGATGCAGATTCTCTTGAGAGCACCATTACGTCGTTGGCCCGACTAGATATACTCACATCTGCCATTGAGAAACTACAAAAGGATCTCTTGTCTGTGATCGTAAATCCGATCTTGTTACCTCACCCTGATGGAACCAGCCATGGTGTGGTGTTGACGGAGACCAACATTCGCATTGAGCCTGAGGCCTCAAAGACAACCGCACTGGAGACGTTGGATCGTCTTTCCAGCGTCTTGGGCTATTTGCGACAGAATTTGCCATCATCGGTGTCCGCAACTTTCTCCGAATCGTTCATTGTGACTATCTCCTCAAAGGCCATTTCTGAGTGGCTATCCCCTGCTATTCCCACCGATCTAGGTGGCCTCGCCGAGTTTGAAAACGTCTTGAACCATGTTTTACAGTTCACCAAGCAGATAGAGTCTTGGGGTTGGACTGGCCAAGAAGAACTGGTCTCGTGGGTTAACCAAGCTCCACGCTTGTGGTTGACTCGGCGTAGAGTCGACTCGCTCGATAGCGTTCGCAAAGTCCTTGCCGCCAGTCAGGGAACAACGAAACAGGTCGAACGGATTGAAAAGGAAAAGGTTTCCCAGGCTGAGGGTGCTTTATTGGATAATGCTGTCAATGATGACTGGGACGCAGATTGGGGTGACGATAAAGAAGATGAGCCCAAAAAAGCAGAAACAGCAAATCCCGAGGAAGAAGAGGGAGACGTTAGTGCGTGGGGTCTTGATGACGAGGACATCGAGGAGACTCCCGACCTGGCCAAACTACAGGCAGCTGCTTCTACGGAAGACGATGATGCTGATGATGCCTGGGGCTGGGGGGATGAAGATGAAGATGACCATAAAGTCGATAATAGGCCTTCGCAGTCCCAGAGCACAGTAGCGACAAACCAACCCGACAAGAAGAATACAACAGAATCCGTATCACCAAAGGAGGTCACCTTGAAGGAGGTCTTCACCATCACTGATATCCCCGAGTCTGTTCTTGGTGTCGTTCAGCAGCAAATCACCGATTCAAAGGATATTCTGCAGCCAGCGTAAGTATACTATCCTGCCCATGCCTTCTTCGGCTTTTTGTTGGCACCCCAACTAACTAGAGCTCAGCCATGCCGGTTCCCGCGTCGCCTCTTCTGGTGCTGGTCTTCTTGCACTGCCAACCTTGATCCTGGCCATGTTCAAAGCTACATCCTCCACATTCTACTCACTGAAGCTTACTTCAGGGCAGATGTACCTTTATAATGATAGTTTGTACCTCGCCGATGAAATCCGGAAACTGGTCGAGGAACATGAACTCTCCCGGCTTCAGCCCGATGTTGAAGCTTTGGAGAAATTTGGCAAACTTGCATATAGCAAAGAGATGCAGACGCAGCGCACCATCGTCACGGATCTGCTTGATGGAGCCCAAGGGTTTGGACAATGCTCCGAGCAGCCATTCCTAGCAGACTGTGAGAATTCTGTTAGTGCAACTGTCGATCGTATTCGCGATGTTTACAAAGAATGGCAACCCATACTATCTCGTTCTGCATTGCTCCAATCAGTCGGGTCCCTCTTGTCTACTGTGATCAACAAGGTGGTCATTGATATCGAAGATTTGGGTGATATCTCGGAGGATCAGTCACGGCAACTGGTCTCCTTCTGTAACCAACTCTCCAAATTGGAGGACCTCTTCATTCCCGAAACACATGGTGATGCCGAGGCACTGCCCGTCACTGCCATTTACGTCCCTAGCTGGCTTCGTTTCCAATATATGATCAATATCCTGGAGAGCTCCCTCGCCGATATCAAATTCCTTTGGCTCGAAGGGGAGCTGGGCTTGGAGTTCTCTGCTGAGGAAGTGATTGACCTGATTGAGGCTTTGTTTGCAGAGTCTGATTACCGGCGACGTGCTATTTCAGACATTCGAAAAGCGCCCAGAGGATAAACCCCATCTACCCAATAGAAATACAATTTATTCACTAGATATATGTTCAAGCAGAAGTGTAGTTATTGCAATCAACTATGTAAACCAAGTGGAGCCATCTCCGCGCTCTGCGCAAGTATGCCGCACTGGTCACCGTATTTTTTCCTCACCCGCCGAAAATGCGACAGCCACCAAAAAAGATTCATCTGCAACATCGGCAGCAATCTTAACGATTTTACAATGAGTGAAGATTTGGCCACTTCTGCTGCTGCAGAGTCTGCGCTGAGACAAGTCCGAGTGCAGCTTATCAGCCAGCAGGAGGATATTGCTTTGCCTGAAAGCACCGGCCCAATTCTTGTTCCTACTGGTGAGAACCTATTGCCGATCAAAAATCATAAATGGTAGCATCAAGTACTAACTCTTTCTCTAAAAGGACTTCGACGATATGCGCTGTCCACCCTTGTGAACAACCTTCTCTCAAGCGAAAAGCCCATTCCATTTGAGTTTTTGATCAATGGAACTTTTTTGCGGACCTCGATTGATGAATATTTGGTCGACAACGGCATCTCTGCTGAGACGACCCTCGAGATTGAATATGTTCGAGCTCTGATCCCGCCCCTGCACATCGCCTCGTTCCAGCACGATGACTGGGTTAGCGCAACAGACGTCCTTTCCACGACTTCGCCTGCTGCATCCTGGGCCTCAGGTGCGACTTTCACCAAGGGCCAGGAAAGAATCCTATCAGGAAGCTATGATGGTCTCCTTCGCATCTGGAACATGTCATCTGAGACTATCGCGACCTCTCCTGCCGCTGCCGACGGTGGCCACACTGCTTCTATCAGAGCCGCCAAGTTCGTTTCCCCGAACCAGATCGCCTCGGCAGGTCTTGATCGCACGGTCCGATTGTGGAAGTATACCGAGGGTGAAGGTGGTTTCACTGGAAAGATCTCTCCTCAGCTGGAGCTGTACGGTCACAAGGCTGGAATTGAGTCACTAGCGGTTCATGCCAAGTCCAACCGTCTGTTGACTGGTTCTGCAGACAATACCGTTGGATTCTGGTCAACTAAGAAGGCTGATGCTCCGGCTGCACCCGAGAACTTGCTTCCCTCCAGCAATGCTCGGAACACGAAGCGTCGCAAGCTGAACACATCCGTCACCACACCTCAGCGTGGTCCTCTGACTCTTTTGTCAGCTCACACCGCACCTGTCTCTGCCGCTATTTTCGACGGAAAAGATGCTACTGTTGGTTACTCGGCCTCATGGGATCACTCCCTGCGCACTTGGGATTTGGTCACTGGCTCTCTGGTTGATACTCGCACCACATCACACTCGCTCCTCTCCCTCGAGCACCTCCCCGAACTCAGCCTCTTGGCTGCCGGTACCGCTGCCCGCCATATCACTCTGATTGATCCCCGAGCATCTGCCACAACTGTGGCTGCCATGACTCTCCGAGGCCACACCAACGCTGTTGTCAGCTTGGCCCGTGACCCCCACAGCACATATGGTCTCATTAGCGGTAGCCACGACGGCACGTGCAGAATTTGGGATATCCGGTCCACCAAGACCGATAAGGAGGGTGTTGTTGGCGAGAGCGTTTACTCGATTACCCGGAAGAGCCTGGAGGAGGAGGGCAAGTCGGATAGCAAGCGGGTTGGCGGTGAAGGCGTCAAGGTGTTCAGCGTGTGCTGGGACAAGACGGTGGGCATTGTCAGCGCGGGTGAGGATAAGCGGATCCAAATCAACCGCGGCGAAGGCGTGCTGTCTTCGAAGGCATGAGTGCACATATGGGCCTGGCGTTTAACACTTGGTTGAGGGCAAAAGTTTAGACTTACACATATTTTTTCCTGCTTACTTCTCCATCTTCGCGTATATCTTTAGCTCGGAATTGGATATATATCAGACTGCACCTGACAGTCACTACGACTTTGCCGTACATATAGTTTTGTTTTGAAGCTTCCATTCACCCCAGGTTTATGTCTAGCCTATAATACATCCACAGAGGGGTTCCATTCACATACAAACTGGCAAAAATCGAGTGCCAGGAATCAATAAAACGCCAAACCCATGCCTCTCGCGCAAAACAGTGAGACAATCCCATAAAAGTAACAGTCAGGTACGATACCACCAAGTTTATAGTCTGCGCTCCATGCGGTTCAACTTGACAGGAGTTTTGATCTATTGAGGTTTCGTTAGCCATTAGCTCGCATGGCGTTTCGAGATATAACAACGCAAGCTGAGATATCAAGAGAGCACTGGGAGGAATAGGGAAACCCACTTGAGTCCGTGTCCGCTGCCCCCTCACAGGCAAACCCAGCGCATGACGTCGGCCGCGGTAAGTTCCGGTCTCTTTCATACGCTTTATATCGTTCAGAACTTCTCTGCGCAGGTCGTTCTCGATTTTCATATCGGACAGCACGGCTGTGAGGTCAAGGACCTGCTTGTTGGCCAGCTCGCCGACGCGGCAGGTCGGGTGGATGTTGAAGCGGGACATGAGGCGGCCGGAGGTGTTGTTTCCAATTCCGAAGAAGGTCTCAAGGGACTTCTGTAGTGCCCAATGCATGTTAGTTGGGGTATCGAGGTTGCGGGCACAATCGTGAGGGTTAGCTTGCCTTGAGCAGGTTCCGCTCGGGGAAATTGACACCAAGGATGAAAACCTAAGCATAATTAGCGGTGGGTTTTTTTTAGAGGGTAGATTGGATCGTGACTGTGGCTATCATACCATCTTGAACTGTGTTGGCTGGCTGGTGTCCTGACAATCGTATGGAGCCGTCACTTGTTGCGCTCGTTGAACTCCGGGAGAAATCCTCCGTCAACGTTAACGTTTTTCCGAAGTAGATTGATGCCTTAACTTTACGGCATTAATCCGTCTATTCTCCGCACGCCATTGCAAGCTGGCCTTCTTCCCCTCCCATTGCTCCATCTTCCCCCTTTCACTGTATCCGACCAGAGCAGTGGCAATTAGCAAGCATGTATTTCAGAAGCCTCTTTGTGTCCCTTTTTTTGGTTTTCGCCGTCGGCTTTGCGCTGGTTCAGGCCGAAGCAGCCAAGGAGCCTCGCGGCCCTAAGATTACCTCCAAGGTGATTGACATTGATGTTCTAGCTCGGTCTATATGCAAACGATACTTATTTTTGGTGATAGGTCTACTTCGATATTCAGCATGGAGATGAGTCTCTTGGTCGCATTGTGATGGGCTTGTACGGCAAGACCGTCCCTGAGGTTCGTAGAACTATATCCCCATGGAATCAGCAATTGAGAATTATCGCTGACACTATTGTTTCTATAGACCGCTGAGAACTTCCGGTATGATGGATTTGCTACGTCAAGGTATCCAATGTTTATCCTGGATATGCTAACCCACTTCTAGTGCTTTGGCTACCGGCGAGAAGGGCTTTGGTTACCAGGACTCTACTTTCCACCGTGTTATCAAGGATTTCATGATTCAGGGTGGTGACTTCACCAAGGGAGATGGTTTGTGAACCTGCGAACGGGTTCGGTTACATGATACTAAGTGTGTACAGGCACCGGCGGAAAGTCGATCTACGGCAACAAGTTCAAGGATGAGAACTTCAAGTTGCGTCACACCAAGAAGGGTCAACTGAGTAGGCATTTTCACTCTTTTGATTCGATCTCACAGGCATCTGACCATTCTTAGGCATGGCCAACGCCGGCAAGGACACCAATGGCTCTCAGTTCTTCATCACCACCGCTGTCACCTCGTTCGTATCCCCTAGAATAATTCCTTCTGTGCAATAACTAACCGAAACCACGCAGTTGGCTCGATGGCCGCCATGTCGTCTTCGGCGAGGTCCTCGAGGGCTACGAGGTTGTCGACAAGATCCAAAACGTTCCCAAGGGACCCGGCGACAAGCCCAAGCTGGCTGTTAAAATCGTGAAGAGCGGTGAGCTCGAGCTTGAGCCCGAGACCGAGACTGAGGACAAAGGTAGCCGCGATGAGCTCTAGACAGGTGACTGTCTGCGCGATGTTTTCTCTGCTGCTGGTCGGAAGTGGCTGATTATCTTGGATATCTTAAGAACTCGACCAAGAGCCGGGTGTCACCGACAAAGCTCCCGATGCCCCCGATGCTCCCGAGACCGCCACGCCATCTTACTCCCTGCAGCCGGCCGTGATTTTCTTCGTCCTAGTCGCCGTTGTGGGTATCTGGATTGCCCGTCGGCGGGGCCAGCAGCAACAGCAAGAGAAAGAACAGTATGATGCATAAGCGATGATGTTAGATCAATTATACATTATTTTTTGACTTTCCGCCCCATAAATCCCTGGATTTCAATATCCGATGACTCTCATCATCACAACTTGATAGATCATCTGTGGATGTTACCTTGGTCACGTAGGTGGTGATATACTTTGGTGCCCAGGTGGACTAGTGGAAAATCATCCACTCAGATCATTCGCCTCCTGTCTTAGTCAGACATGGCGTCCAGACCGCCCTCGAGCAGCAACTGGCGAGTGGAAATTTCTTCAGTGGCGGTAAATACCTAAAGAGTACTTCTGGTACTTAGGCGTTTACACTATAAAATTAGGTTCCTTAGAGGTACCTCCAATAGCCACACAGCGCCCCAAACTCTCCAACTTTTGTTGCCTCCTTCCCACAGACTTCATCCACCCGTTCTCTTTCTCTCTTGATTCAACCCCCCTCCATCATCCCTTTTTTCAATACTCTCTCTCTCTCTTTCTCTTCTCTCTAGAGTTCTTAGAATCGGGAGATTTGCATTTTTCATCTTCTCTGTGGTTTTACTGAGCTTTACTTGTTTGCCACTCGATCTTTTTTTCTTATCGAGTTGAAACAGAAAAGCGATTTGATCTTTTCACCGTCTCTCTCTCTCTTCTCTCTCTCTCTAAAGGTACACTTTACGTGGATTTCTTATTCTTTGCAAGTATCTTTTCCAGATCACTTGCGCTTTATCTACGACCAACGAATCATTTCCGGTGAAGCAGAAAAAAACTGTACGGAATATCGTTCACCTGCATCGGTCGAGATCGGACAGCTTCTAACTCTCGTTCTACAATAGACATTTCCAACCGCAAAAATGGCCGACGGTTTGCAAATGGGAAACCTTTCCCTCAACGAGTCTCAGCACGCTCCCCAGGGTAACGCCCCTGTGGGCCGTGCTGCCTACATTCCTCCTCACCTTCGCCAACGTGGTCCTGGTCCCGCCTCCGGCTCCAGTGCTAACGCTGATGCCGCTCCTTCTGGCCCTGGCTTCGGTGGTCCTCGGTACGGTACCCAAAAGACTGAACCCTATGAAGCGACGACTGATTTTGTAATTTCTAGTGACGGTGGTGGCAACTGGGCCAACGCTAACGCTCCCAACTTCAGCCCTCGTGGCCCCGCGAACGGTATGCCCAGCTGGACTCCCGATGGAAAACTCCGACCCTTCAATCCCAATGCTTACGGAAACCCAGGATCCTCTTACGGTGGTGGTAGCAGCGGCGGTGGCAGCTACAGCGGTGGTGGAGGCTCCCAGCAAGCCCGCGGCTCAGGCGATGGCCAGTGGCGCGATGGCAAGCACGTTCCCGGTCCCGCCAATGCTCGCTTGGAGCGCGAGTTGTTCGGAGTGCCCAACGACCCCTCTAAGCAGCAGACTGGAATCAACTTCTCCAACTACGATGATATCCCCGTTGAGGCCTCCGGAAACGATGTCCCTGAGCCTGTTACCCAGTTCACTAACCCCCCTCTGGACGACCACCTGATCGCCAACATCAAGCTTGCCAGCTATGTCATCCCTACCCCCGTTCAAAAGTACTCGGTCCCCATCGTCATGAACGGCCGTGATCTTATGGCCTGTGCCCAGACCGGTTCCGGAAAGACTGGTGGTTTCCTTTTCCCTATCCTCTCTCAGGCTTTCCAGAACGGTCCTTCTGCCACCCCTGTCCAGGGTGGTGGTGGTGGTCAGTTCAGCTACGGCCGCCAGCGCAAGGCCTACCCCACCTCTCTCATTCTTGCTCCCACTCGTGAGCTGGTCTCTCAGATCTTCGAGGAGGCCCGCAAGTTCGCTTACCGCTCGTGGGTTCGCCCCTGTGTCGTGTACGGTGGTGCAGACATCGGCTCTCAGCTTCGTCAGATTGAGCGTGGTTGCGATCTCCTCGTTGCTACCCCCGGTCGTCTGGTTGATCTGATTGAGCGTGGCCGTATCTCTCTGGCTAACATCAAGTACCTTGTTCTTGACGAGGCTGATCGCATGCTGGACATGGGTTTCGAGCCCCAGATTCGCCGCATTGTCGAGGGTGAGGATATGCCCGGTGTTGATGATCGCCAGACTCTCATGTTCTCGGCCACTTTCCCCCGCGATATCCAAATGCTTGCTCGTGATTTCCTCAAGGACTACATCTTCTTGTCCGTTGGTCGTGTCGGAAGTACTTCAGAGAATATCACCCAGAAGGTCGAGTATGTCGAGGATGCCGATAAGCGCTCCGTTCTGCTAGACATTCTCCACACCCACGGCAGCACTGGTCTGACTCTGATTTTCGTTGAGACCAAGCGCATGGCCGACTCGCTCTCTGATTTCCTCATTAACCAGCGCTTCCCAGCAACCGCCATTCACGGTGATCGTACCCAGCGCGAGCGTGAGCGTGCTCTGGAGCTCTTCCGCAATGGTCGCTGCCCTATTCTGGTTGCTACTGCCGTTGCTGCCCGTGGTCTCGATATTCCTAACGTGACCCATGTCATCAACTACGATCTCCCCACCGATATTGATGACTACGTTCACCGCATTGGTCGTACTGGTCGTGCCGGTAACACCGGTATCGCCACTGCTTTCTTCAACCGTGGCAACCGTGGTGTTGTTCGTGATTTGCTCGAGCTCCTGAAGGAGGCCCACCAGGAGGTTCCCGCTTTCTTGGAGAGCATTGCTCGTGAAGGTAGTGGATTCAGTGGTCGTGGCCGTGGTGGTGGTGGCCGTGGCCGTGGCGCTGCTGCCACTCGCGATGTGCGTCGTATCCCTGGCGGTATGGGTGGCGGCTTCGGCGGTTCCGGCGGCTACGGTGGCTCCGGTGGTGCTGCCCCCTCATACGGCGGCGGCTATGGCGGTGGTGCTGCTCCCTCATACGGTGGTGGTGCTGGCTACGGTGGCGGCGGTGGTAGCTACGGCAACCCCTCCGGCTCCTCCGGTCCCTCTTCCTGGTGGTAAATCAGTCGTGGTCTTTTGACGATGCCCTCGGGTCTGATTGGCTCCCTTGCTTTATTTTCTTTTGTCTCTCGTTGACGGATACGATCAGATTGAGTCCCTGAGTTCTTTTCTACCTGTGCTATCTCTCAGGGACGGCTTTGTCATGACTGCACGACTTTCTTATGCTTGTTTTAGATTCATATTTTCCACGTTTGCGTATGCTTTAATCTGGTTTCCTTTGTTGTTCCTCTCATGTCTCTCTTCGCTGATTCCATCCATGGCTTTTCAATATTGCTTTGTATGGATACGAGGCATTCGCGCAGTCCGGTCTTCTTTCCTTGCCCCCGGGAGACATTACTCTCTTCGGGCAACCTATGGTCGAAACTGCATGAACATCATAGAATGCGTTGTCTTTTTTTTCCTATGTCCGCTCTCGTCAGATACCCCTTATGTTCGAGCATCCCCACTGGGGATACGTTCGAGTGACGCGCGTGCGCCGAGCGGAGATTGATGACTTTTCATCATCTCGAAAAGTTCTCTTTTTCTCTTCGCATTCATCTTCGGTGTTGTTATGGCTGCATTCATCATATGCAGCATAGACTTTTTACAGCGTCGGTATCTCATGGCGGACATTTGTTTCTGTTGCTGCCCTCGTGCGTTCTGCAGTCGATTTTCGAAAACACAAACGTGCGCTTTCTTTCTCCGGGCTTTTTCGGATACTGGTTATCTCGCCGTTACACCTCACGGCGCGGCTGGTGTTTTTCGAAGTCAAAAATGGGTATTCTTTGCATTCTGTATGGCGTTGGCTTGACCTGCAACTGCATGTCCTCTGCTATCGGGTCCGTGGAGGCTGATTGTCTCCGAATAGGAGCACCTTGCTTCATTTCCTTGTCTATTCTGATCATTTTTCTCGGACCTCGGGGAATAGGACACTGTCGCCGCTGAAAGAATGAGTATACTTATGAATTCTCGGGTTCGAATTGGGAGGGGAAAAAACGAACCAACGGCCCTGGGATGGCCACGAGAAGGAAAGTTCTCTTATCCAATGAAAAGTGTTTCCAAATTTATTTTAGGGTGTGTAGGATCAAAGTAGGATTCAAGTATATGTAGGTGCTCCATGTGATGATAGTCAAAATTATACATCTATATATAATACCTACACCTAAAAAGGCCCAAATATATATTAACTCAGTAAATGGTACTTATTACCCAAGTTAGATGAATGTCTTATTAATATATTTTAGTCACCTAACTAACTAGGTAACTAGTTGCTTACTCGATAAATTGCAAATCCAAATGCGTGGCATTTATTAGATATGTAGCCATAGCCGCATATTAAACGCGTTCTCTGATACGGGTAGATATCACACCAGCTATACCTTCATGGGCCACTCGGCTCTGCTTTCTTCCTCTTTTTCCGGCTTTTGAACTTCATTTTCCCTTTTCCCTTTTTCACTTGGCACACCTTCTCATTTTTATCCTTTCTGTTTTTGTTTCTTTTCTCCTATACTACTTCTGCCTCTTTCATCGGCCGCCTCCTAGGGGGCACTTCATATTACAACCTACGATTCTCCTACAATCTGATCGCGCACCTGTTATCCGTTCCAATAATCCAAAAATGGCCGATTTCGAAAATAGTATGATGGACGAGTCCTTCGCGGCTTCCGAAGCTGCGGATGATCAGTCTCACGGCATGACCGCCAGCGCGACGGTCGGTACAAGGCGGCAAGCGAACGGCACCATTGGCTCTGTCTACTCCGGTAACAAGATTCGACACCTGAAGAAAGATGATGGTATACCTCTATGGCGCAAAGATATCCAGTACCAATTCCTGAAGCTGGTCTTTGAGGATAAGACACCCGTTTTTACGCGGTATCCCGACGGGCAGAAGGGAATGGACTTCGCGGATGTCTACATCAATGCAATGGCCCGTAGCAGCAAGACCAGCAAGATTCTTAAGGATAAACTGCAGAACGACAAACCTGCGGCTATCAATATGGCTATGGTCTGTCTGCTGGTCAATTTCGGTCGCATGAACACTACCCTGAACTGTACGCTTGCAGCTATGCCGTAACATTGCTCTACTTCCATGCTA